TGACGATGCCTTTTCCGCTGACGACGCGCTCGGTGGAGACACGACCGTGAAATTTTCCCATGAGGTGGAGCAAGAGCTCACACTGCAAGTCGTCGCGAGGCGCAAACGCAACATGGCCCCCCTCGGAAGGCCATGCATCATATATCAATCCCCCCGAGGTCTCAGAGCTAGTGGCAAAGGTCTCGCCGAGGCCCGTGCCGGCGCCAACGCAAGCGACAGGCGCACCCACGGTTGGTACGATTGGTCCATGCGGCGAAATTTCGTCGTAGTCAGAAGCCTCAAGGGTTACGACACCGTACCCGTTGGCCGCGAAGTCGTTCACGAGGCGCATGGACCCGCGGGGCATCTCGAACTCGTCCTCGAGGCTCCTCGCATCAATGACCCAGCACAGATTTGTGAATACGACACGGTCCTTACTCACGGGACCTGCCACGGCCAGACATCCGGCGACGAGCTCGAACAGCGGCAGGTTTGAATCGCGGAGGAACTGATGAAGTAGGTCTGTGAAGTTACCTTCAACATTGTCGTTCTTGTACGTGCACTTCGATAAGGGCTGGATTTTTCCGACTTGGTGGAGGGCCGAAGCATCCAGACCTCTCGGATCCTCCACACGAAAGAGCTCCAGCCTTGAGTTCGTCCCACCCAGATCCCCGCAAAGCACGACGCTTACGCCCGCCAGCACGGATGCGCTGCGTTTGGGCCGAAAGCCGTCCGATGTTTCCATGTCAGCAATATTTTTTATGCGTCAGGACAAGAGCGGCTCGAGATAAAAGTCGGGGTACCTCATGCCGTTCTATCTCGCCAAGTCTTGCGTAATAACCCGCAACAAGGCCTGCCCTGCAGTGGTGTAGCTGCGCACAGCTATTAGGTGTAGCGCGGTGGCTCACAGCGCGAAAGCGGGAACACAGCCCAGATCAGAGTGAGGCTGCGCTGCGGGTACCCTAGGCGTATCCCGGCTCCTCTGCCTTTCTTTTCCATCTCAGGAGGAAGATTCTCCTGTATCTGCCCCACTGTGCTTATTCTCCCTTTTCTCCCTACCTTGCAGTCTCATATCTTCATGAGACTGAGGTCCCCACTTTAGTATGGGGGTCCTTCCTCCTTTTCCCAATTTCCTTCCCTTTCTCTCTTTCTATTCCACTTTAAGACAGTATAGAGTAACCCTCTCCTGTTGGGAATCAGGGCTGCTCAGCAGCCCCATCTCACTTTTCCATTTTCAGTCTAAGTCAGGAACACTGCCATTTCCCCTCAAGGGTTATGGGCCCACAGCGTTAATCCTGACCCAAGACTCTTTACCTTCGTTACATGGTAGATTAGCTAATTACAGCGGAACTTCGGAAAATTCGCTTAACAGGCTAACACTTTAAGGATCTCTTCTCGTAACAGAAATATGGGGGATGCAGATCAAGGGGGTAGACGTAACCCCGCGCGTGCCGCAAGGGCTCCTCGACCGCAAGAACCCGAAGGTGGTGAACCCGAAGGAGATGAACCACCCCAAGACCAACCCGAGCCAACAGAAGAAGAGCTGGCTCAGCAAGAAGCAGCTCGTCAAGAAGCAACTCGTCGGGATGCAGAAGCTCTTGCAG